GCAAACTGAAATATTTGCACAATGCAAGGATACTGGATCATTTTTGTCCTTGAAAGAACAAATACTTTAAGGATGTTTCCCCTCTTAGTATTCTATTGCCATGGAGCACCTTTCATTGGCGTGTTAATACACGTCAGAGGCAGCTTGCAGTCTGTTTAGTTTAAACCAGTAGAATTTGGGAGCTTTGTCAAGAAAAATATAAACTCCTTTTCTACCTCCAAGCAGAGGACCAAGGCTGCTGGTGTCACTGTTCTCCCCTTTCTGCAGCAGGCAAGGCCATGTGCACAGGGGTAACCATGGAAAAATTGAATTGAACGAGGTCTGATAGCTGTGCTGCCTTGTTGCGGTAACCCAAAGGACACAGAAGACATGAGGCAAGGGAGGTAGGGTTGAAGATGATTGAAGAATAATGAATTTAATCACAATTTATTATGACAAGGGTAGTGAAGCATGGGCACAGGTTACTCAGACAGGTGGTAGAAGCCTCATCTTTGGAGATACTCCAAGTCAGGTTGCACAGGGCTCTGAGCAACCTGATCTAGCTGTAGGTGTCCCTGTTCATTGCAGGGGAGTTGGTTCACATGACCTTTAAATATTCCATTCCAACTCAAACAATTCTCTGAGATCAAAGCATTTTGCAGTGACCACAGCCTATGCTGACAGCCAGAGGTTATCATCTAGCCTTTTTTTAGCGTGGGTTCGCAACCTCCTCAATTTACAAGGCTCTGAAATGAATTAACATGGATGCAAGGATCCAAGTTGTTACAGCATGTCAGCCTGTGACACTTGTGTTGGTGAGTCAAGTAAGATCTGTCTGGAATTCAGACAGAAAATTAATGTGGAAAATCCCAGCTGTTGTAGGAGATGGTGTGGGTACCTCTGCTGTGCCATTTCCATGATGTAGCTTCTTCCAGTTCATCTAGAGGGTATGTTACAGCTAGATAGTGTTATAAAGACAGTTGTAAAACTGGAATAGTTTTAGTGATGCTCACATAACATGCCTTTTAGGATTAAGCATTCAAGTATTATTACCTGGCTTTAACTTAATCCAGATTAATTGCTAATTATAGCCTGCAGGGCCAGATGCAGACATAGTCTTCCTTGGGAGGTGTGTCTTGCACCTGGCTTACTTGCTCTCCCTTCCCTGTCTGCAGCACCGACCGTGCCATGCCTTGGCACCATCTTGGTGTGTGATGCCATCCAGTGGAAATGGATGGCATCACACAAATGTCCAGCTGTGCACCTCAGTGCACTCGATGTTGTGTGACTGCTAGGGGACTGAGCACAACCTGCAATGGTGGCTGCAATGGATGGAGATAAAGGAATATGGGGCAGAGCTAGGGGCACAGAAATCATTGTTCTAGTTATGGTTTTATTCCAGTTTTAATGTAGTATTTTTTACCCTCTGTCTAAAACACTTAGCACTATTTTTTAACTCTCTCATTTATTTACTTCTCTTTTAGTGACAGCTGTATGCAGGAGCTAGTAAATCAGTGTCTTGCAAAGAAAAGATGACAGGTGAGGGAAGACGTTTGGCACAAAGCTCTACTTAATATACAAAGAAAAGGAAGAGAAACTGAAATCATAAAAACTACAATGACCTAGAAACAAAAACAAAACCATAGATAAAAAGAATTATTTCCAGTCACTTAATAAGATGAAGAAGTAAAGCAAAGAAGGAAAGAATACATGATTATGGGGATGTATTAAGGATAATAAAAACTTACAAGATCTCAGATATTCATGTAAAATTATCACTTTGACTCACAGATTGACAGAATTGTCATTGTAACCAGTGGTCCTTTATAATTTGAGAAGTAATTTTAAAATTTCATCATAGAAAATTAATTGAATGTGATGTCAAGAGTAAAATAAACAACAGCTCTCAGCATTTCATTTGCACATTCATTATATGAAAGACAAAGAACTGGGAGAGGTATAATGAGGTCTGGCATTTAATTTTAATGCTTTAATTATGGAGTGCATATATTATGGCATCATTTGAAACATAAACAATGCTACACTTCCCAGTGATCAACCTTTCTGTCAACTAGTTTTTATGAGTATGAAATAATTGCTTATTACCTATTGTTAAGATTACTTATATGTCACTGATAAAAAAAAGTTATCCTCATTAACTTCCAATATAGCTTAGGCCAGCTTCTCAGTCCTCTCCATGTCTTTGATTACAGTGCATGCCTATTTTTTGCCACCTACAAATACAAAAGTGAGCAGTTTTCATAGTAGCATTGCTGGCTGCCTAATTGGAATAGAAATCAAGAAACATGGGGCAATGAATGGAAGGATACTGGAAATATGCAATGAAGCAAACTGTGAGAGTGCTGGAAGAGAAAAATCATAGGAAGAAGTCCTAAAAGAGAACCTAGCAGAAAGATAGCTGCAGTAATTGAGAAAGGATCAGTACCAAGCTCTAACTGCATTTCCAGTTTCCAGGCGGCAATGTAAACTGACATGTAACTGACTTTTTCTGCAAAATCTTGTTGCTGAATAATGTCTTTTATCACAGCTGCGAAGAAACAGTGAAGGAAAAGACGCTGTGCAAGCCAGTTCTTTTAGGGGGGATAGGCAGATTTTGCCATGCTTGTCAGGATTAGAAACAAGAGTACCTGCAAGCCATATACTTTATGTGATAAAAGGAAGTGGTAATGTTAATCTGATAAATTTTGCAGGTTTATGAGCAGATTACAGGATGTAATCCGCCCTCCTACCTGGGATGCGTAAAGCACCATTCATGATCTATTCTAGATACAGAATCTTGAGGTGTTGCAGGAAACCCACTTAAATTAACAACTGAGGGTAACCTACACCAATGGGGAAAAAAAGAAGCCTGATTCTCTACTACCTAAAATTAGAGGATATAGAAACTTCTTCTGGAATCATGGAATCACCAAGGTTGGAAAAGACCTCCAAGAACTTCCAGTCCAATTGTCCCACCTATCACCAATATTTCCCACTAAACCATGTCCTTCAGTACGACATCTAAACGTTTCTTGAACAACTCCAGGGATGGTATCTTCACCACCTCTCTGGGCAGCCTGTTCCAGAGCCTGACACCACTCTTTTGGAGAAGTAGTTTTTCCTAAAAAACAACTGGAAAACCAATTTGTATGGGAGGAGACTGTGAGCAGTGATTATTTTCATCTCTTCTTTGGAAAGAAAAGAAAAAAAATCCTGACTTCTAGATTTAGTAGCCAGAATTAGAAACAATTGTAAAACACTGTGAAGTGAGAAGCTGGCAGCTAGCCAGCAGACAGCTTCCCTGAACTGTCAGTTATCTGCTGCCATAGCTGTCATAAGCGAGGCTGTATCTCTTTTTTAGCTATTGAAGAGCTGCTAATGGAATAATGAGCAGTTTCCACTTTCTCATTAGTGCATAGTCATCATAGTATTTACGGAGTATCTATAGTTGAAATATCAAGTGATCATTCTGTTGGTCTCTGTGTTGTAATTCCAAAGTGTCTGGGATTTTAGATTAATATTTGGAAATTAATGGCTGAAGCCCAGCATATTTACATTAAATAATTATGTAAACTCATGACATCAACGCTATAATCTAAAAGAAAAGGAAAATTTTGTGTAAACCTCTGCCTCTCCTACAGAGAACATGCTTATTCTCCTAGGGCTCCCTCTCCACTGATGCCATAAATAACATATATCCATGAGAATATTAATCTACCAAGTACATACACTTGATGAACTGGATTTACTAATAAAAATATTAGGTATGAATTCGTGGCAGTATAAGCTGTCAAAAGCATTTTTAATACATTACATTGCTAGAAGTTTTATAAGTAAGCTCATTTTTTGAATACTGATAAACTTGCAGAGTCACAGAATTGTTGATCTGCTCTGATTTCTGACCAGTGGAGCAGCCTAGGATGAAGACATCCATAGCAGTTGAGTAGATGGATTGCAGAGTTGAGAACTCTGGCCTTTCAGTGCCTCCAAGATGAAAAAGGATTTTCAGAATCATCTTCTGGAACTTGAGCACTTAAAAAGTTTACTGAAGATGCCTGAAATTTTTGTGAACTGTAGTTCCTAACCCACACTCATTATTTGTATGGGATAATTTTAATGAACTGAACACTTTATTTTTAAAACCCACGAAAGATTGCCAAACCTGTTTTTTTTTTTTCCTTTTTTTTTCCTCCAGGAGTAAATGTCATATTAACACAATGCTTAACACAATTTTTAACAACCATCAGCTGCCAGGGGCTTGCTGTAAGCACACACATTCATCCTCTATTTTTATGTCAGCTAAAGGAATTTAGATGAATGAAAAATCAGTTAAACACAGTCCTTTAAATCCATGTTAAACCCGACAACTAAAGAGGTATAAGGAAAACAACTTAACTATCTAATCCTTGATATATTTTTAGAGACTTGTAACAAAAAAAAGACCCTTCTACCTAAACCTACTAAAACCAGATCTATCAGTATTAATTAGCAACATGTAAACACCTTGATTGACAGTAGAGCACTGCACATTGCTCTTGCAGTGAACTGTGTCTTTCAAATTCCTACCCATGTGTCCCAATAACATACTGTTGTTACAATGCCACATAGGTTTTATATCGAAGGAGCCTAATAATAGCTTCTGTTCTAGAATGAAAATGGTTTGCTACAGGACAAAAAAAAAAAAAAAAAAAAAAAAAAAACCCACCCTTTTGGGAGGAGAAAAGGGCAGCAAAACAGTTTTATACTCAGTTGTATTTGTTTCCACGTAGGCAGGCAGCTAATAATGTACATTTGTCAGTTCACTACTTCAACAGTGTTCCAGAAAACAGTGCTCCTGGCCATGACACATCAGGGCTGCTTTCTATGGTTTGTCATTTGAATGGCTTTCTGGGAAAAGAACATTACAGCAGTTCTGTTTTAACTAACCTTTTTTGTGTCTGTGCCTATAAATATGAGATGTCTTTCCACTACTCTTTTACCAACCCATATCTAATGGTGACTTGAACTAGAATGAAGTGGACATGAACAAAAAGGGAGATCTCAGTCAGCAGGTAAGGGACTGACAGAATGATTTCTGAGCAGGTAAGCTGATATAAAATACTTTTGCACCTGCTTCAAGATTTTAATCAAGCAAATACTTTGTTGTGCTTTATACACAATTTTCTTCATGTGTATGTGTTGCGTATGGTCTAATTTTGCAGCAGACACAGATCAACTGAAACAGTTACTTGCCTTAGAAAGCAAGCCTAGCTCATTTTACCTTCTCATGTCTTTCTTTAAAGAGATTATGAAAAGTAACAAATAGTGATCAAAAATCTGATCCCATTAGTATTTGTAGAAAACCAGATTGGCTTCGTTAATATGAATGGAGCCACTACTGTTTGTTGATTAGAAACTGACTAAAATTAGAAAGTGACACTTTTGAGTCAATCTACAGAGCTGGGTGAAGTTGGAGATGCTCAGTTTTCATATAAGTGCTCGTTAAAGTTGATTCTTGTCCAAGCATTACAATAAGTACTTTCAATAAAGTTAAAAATACCTGTTATTTTGGGTACAGTCCAAGAGATCTCTTTCTGAAAAACATGAAATATAAATTCAATTATTTAAAATACAAATTCAATTAAAAATGCTAGAAAGATATAACATAGCTTAGAAGTAATTGTGCAGACAGACATCCAAAGGCTACTAGAAGTTTTTATCAGGATGAAGAACTGGATACTTTTTATGCCAGAGATACATCTGCTCTGAGTCACTGGCTGCTTCCTAGACCATCTTTGTATATGAAATGAGTCACAGAAATTAGACATAAAAGTCTTGTAGATCATTAAGTCCATTTCCTTGCAAATATCTTCCAGATGAAGAATCAGTCATGTGTTAAATGGACCCTGTTACTATATCTCATTTACACTGTTGCAAGTTGGAGATGGCACCACCAGTGTTCTTTTCTGGTCCAAAATTATCTTCATTTTGAGATTCAATCTCACTTAAGGGAATTTTTTTTATGTGGTGCAGGTGGCATAGTCCAAGGGAAGTACTTTTAAATAACTTTGCCACAAGGACTATGCTGCCTTGAAAAGTTAGAGAATCAATGACACTGAGAAGTAAAACTACTAATTGCATGTGTAGTACAGAGTCTTTGGATAGGAACAGCAGACAAAACCAGAAGTCAGATGTAAAAATAGGTGAGCTAAACTCATTCATTTTCCCATGAAGGACATTAATAATCTTGAGTGTATTTACAAGTTTCAAAGCAGGAAGGAGACTCTGCCTCTGCTCCTAACGCTACTGTCATCTTCCTGTAACCTATGGTAAGATTGTGCTTCATAGCTTCTCTAACTGCAAAACAATCACACATACCTAATATTTATGCACTTGCAAGTCCTTCACTGTGACGTTTCTGTAGTAGTAAATCACTCCCTGAGAACGACTTCATCAAACATGGTCACTGAGAGAGAAATTAGTTACAGCAATATCTTGACAACGTGCTGCAATCTTCATAACTCTAGCTTACAAACCACTAGCATCTGCATATAGTAGTGCACACTATTTTATCACTACAAGCAAAAAGCCAGAATCCCTACATGCCCACAGTAACTTCCTGGAAACGCCTGGGTTGTTCTCTGTAGCTCTCTAAGTCCATGAGTCACATTCTCTTCTGGTATAAATCTGAGTAGCACCAGCAGCTCTAGAGAAGCTGCATTAATTCCCAGCAGCAGAAAATTAGTTCCAGCTGCCTGTGCTCCTTCACTGCTTCATTGCTGGGAGGCAGCTGGGCAACCCTTTCCATCTGCCAGGAGAAGAGACAGAGAAAAAACTTGAACATGGGCATGCTTATTTTATGCACACTACTATGTAAAGTCTTAAGGAACACCTCTCTTTAAGACTTGACTTTTAGTTTCTGAGATTTGCTACCACATAAAAACATTAGTTACACTTGACCATGCCAAACAGAAGAAGCTGTAAAGGGTAACCTGATAGCAGCCCAAGTGGTTCAGAGAAAATTCCTCAGCATATAAAAGTTGGTTTACTTTTGAAAGTAATCTTGAAAAATGCTAAAACAGTGTGAATAAGGCAATTGTTGACATCATTTGAACAAGAGCTTATGATTTTTTAATACTGGAAGTTAGTCTGGAAACAGTTCATGTCACTTCATCAACTCTGATTTTTGTGATAGAAAAATCCAAGTGAAGCAGTTTAAATAAATAACACATTCAAATGACCTTATGGTTGTTTTTTTTTTTCACTTTTGTTTTTAGCATCTATATTTCTTTGTTTTCCAAATCTTTGTTTTCTACATCTGAGTCAGCACATTTTGATGTCTTAATGGCCTTTGTAAAATGAATCTTTTATTCTCGAAAAATACTTATTAACAACTGAGGAAGATCATCACAATTTGACCTCTTAACGTTTATTAAATAATGGCTAAAATTTGTTAATAATCTGAAAGAAAAGTGAAAACAAAGGTGTGAATAGTACTGCAGTGCAGTTTACTGAGTAGGTGCATCACTTCTTTGGATAGCCAGTAGCAGGTACATTAGTTATCTTGTTGATTATGTACATACAGAATAGCTACTGCTAGAGTTGCACTGTTTCCTCTTTCATTTTCCTTCTACAACAGTTTATCCACAGTTACATAGGAAATGTTTTAAAACATATTCCTTCAAATGCTATGGTGTGAGTTCCTTTTTCTCATTTTCCTGTCTCTCTTCATCAATACATTGCTCAGAGAAATTTATAAACCCCAATAGTGTTTGCAGCCTCGCCTAATGTCAGGAAGGAAGAAAAAGTAGGAAAAAATAGAAGTTTCCTTTTGCAACATCTGACTTTGTCCGACAGTACACTGCAGATATATTTTGAATCATTTATAAAATCCTTTTGAGGCAAATGTTCAATAATTGTCTTGGACTTTCACCTGTTCCACACACCAGAAGTCTCTGCGCTTATTATTCCTCCCAAAGGCGACACTTTACATTTCCAAATGTTCTTGGCCTACGGAGTGGTAGGTTACAGATGAACTGCCTTTTGACAGCGCTGTATTTCATGATACAGTTAATGTTCCACTTCAGTGCTTGTACAAAGCTTAGAAGGGAATGCAAACTGATTAAGATCAATTGTTTTAGATGTATGGCTTTTGCACTGCCACAAGATATTAAATGTCTATCTGCTGTGGAAGCCTGAAAGCATGCCAGAAGTGGCAGGTAGCTGGGTTAAGTAGAGCTAGCAATCTCATCTGCAAAGGGCTGAAATATCTGCTTGCTTGTACTATCCTGTATTCTCTCCACTTCCCACCTGCCATTATCATATGGGAGCTGAACAGCAGGATATTGTCTTGTTCTCTTTATTTGGTATGGTTTCCTAATACACTGCTGTAATACATGAGTGTATCCCAGAGACACTGTCTGTAATATAAAGACATTTTCTTGTTGTTGGTCACAAACATCCAGACTCTTATGCATTCAGAGCAATGGAATCGGTATCTAGTAAATACAAGTAAAGCTGTTATTTGCATGAGTTGAAATTGTCCATAACAGGAATTGGTGTCTATTCCACCCTAGTCTTCCTGCCTGTTCTAGGACTTGCACTGGTCCACTTCTACCAAAATGGAAACCCTTCCCCAGCAGATCTCCCACATCAAGGGGATCAGCACAAGTTGCAGCACTGGAGCAAAAAGGCCTGATGGAAGTCGGGGCTCATGTAGCACCAATACCTATCAATGACAGTTTATAACAGATACATCTTTTAGAAAATGTAAATTTTAATTTGTTGCATAGTGCAGCATACACTGCATAAATTTTGGACCTTGTATTTCTGGCAAGAATAATTGAATCACCACTTGAGTGTTCACTAACTAAGAAAGACAAATAAATTTCAAAAGCTCCAAGGCTTTTGACTGAGCACGCCAGTAAGTATTTGAAAACAAACAAATGAAAACAGAATGATGCTGAAACAAATGATGGCTAAAAAAACTTATGTAGCTTTAGGTTATCCTGTTACTGCTGCCACATGGCAAAAAAAACGTAGGAGCATTTGGTAATGACATTAAAAATAATTAGAACTTTTACCGTGTTAATGCCGTGACTACTTCTTTTTACTTTCTACCCAGCATGATTCCATGAAATTAAGACATGATCACTCTCCAGCTCACCTGTACTGTAGTTCTTTCAAGATGCTACTTTACTTAATTATCCTGTCTTCCGTAAAATAAACTTTCTATAAATAATAAATTAAGGAGAAAATTCTTAGGTCATATTTCCCAGGTGCTTCCCACACCATACTGGACTTTTTCTGACTGCTGACACCCACATAAACTGCCAGACAGTAAGGCTATGTTGTGGCTCATGCTTCTAGAATCATAGAATCATATAATCCTGAGAGCTGGAAGGGACCTTTAAAGGTCATCTCGTCTGACTCACCTGCAATGAACAGGAACATCCACAACTAGATCAGATTACCCAGAACCTGGTCCAGCCTGGCATTGAAAGTCTCCAGGGACAGCGCCCTCTATTGAATATCTTGGGTAAAGTGTAGATTAGTGTAGATACAGTGTTCTCCGTAAAAATGTAAAATTTTTTTTTTCTTTAAAAGTAAAAATGATCATGTTTTTTAGAACAATAAGGCAATATCCCTTTCCTATGAAAAATATCTAATGATAAAATTGCAGCACCATAGCCTCCAATTCTGTAGAGAAAACAAACTCTTTGCAGAGTTTTTATAAATCCATTCGCTATTAGAATTTTGTTAAAAATAAAAATTTCCATCTCTATTCAGAAAGAATTTGTTTTGGTAAAGATTATAATGTGGGCCTGCTATCTTTTGTTCATCAAAACGTTTAACTGAAAGGGCAGGTTTCTGATGTTCTGCATTTGTTACATGAACTACTCTTTGTTTGACTCAAGATGTAAGTAATATACAAAATGATGTATTAATCTTCACCATTATGTTGAATAGTTTTTCAAAGATCTGTTAGAGGAACAACTGGCAAACATTGAGTTTACCATTTAAATTGTCAATAGTGATCTTTAAGCACAGAATACAGGAATGCATTATAGGGCAGAAATGCAGATATTGTAGTTATGGTACTGGTTTCAAGTTATCCAAAGAAATCAAATGACTTTTGAAGGCTTCATGAAGAAGAAATCTGAAAATTTTATGGTGGCAGTCTCTGCCACAAAGGATGCTTCTTTAAATATTTTTCATTAACTAATTTGAAACGTCCTTACTAGAGAGCTGGCTATTATCTGCTTTCTGCACCAGCAGGAATGCCCTGGTGAGCCCTGAAAGAAGCTGTAAATAAAACACACTGCAGAGATTCAGAGCAAGGGGGAGAGAGGAAGGAAATGTCTCTGCAAGCTGTTTTAAGAAACAAGTTCTATGCCTTGCTGAGTGGGATAATGATGGAAAATAGTATAATGGGTTAAGAATAACACAGAAAAATTGAGATAATAATGATTATAATGGAAGCCACATAACTGTTTCCTTCCATGTACATATCAGATGCTGCTTCCTTTTCTTCTAAATGTTTTTGTCTGCCATCAGAGGGGTCTATTGCCTTACCCAGACGGGCATTCTGCTTTTGTGCAGATTGTTTTTTCTTCTGGAAATTCAGAAAATGTAGAGTGTGCAGATTATTCCTTTGTGGAAAAGGTAAAGAATAGTCTGATACAGAGGATACCTCTTTGTTTCTCAGTGATTTTACAGCTCTCAGTTCCAGCCTGACCCAAGCAAGCCAAGAACTGTTGGCAATGTTGCTGAGTTTTAAATACATGCTTGAGGATGTATTCATGACAATTTGTGACCAAATATGGAGTGATTTCTTTGTTGGTTAAACAGTACTACAGAACCACAATTATGATGTCAGAAGACGGAGAATTTGATACCTACCTTGATATTTTGTGAAATAATTAATCATTTGTGATATTAAAATCTTTGCTATTTCTTATTTTCTATCCTTTGTTCTTTGCCTTGTCATCAGCAGATTAATCATACTAACGGAGAGACGATTCAGGCACATAATGATATTCATTGGGATAATAAAAACACATTATTTTTTCTACTTCCTCTTTGCACCATCTCTATTTCTCTTTGCACCATCTCTATTTTTTTTTACATCTATTTTAAAATCTGCTCCCAGCACTAAATCACATAAATTGCAAAAATAAAAGTAAATTATTTCTTATTTCTTATTTCTTATTATTTCTTATTTCTTATTATTTCTTATTATTTCTTATTTCTTATTTCTTTCTTGCTTACACATCTAAACATGGATTTGCTCATTTGACTACTGCCATGGGAGTTTGGTTATTTAGCCAATTTAAATTGTGAAATTCATTTAAAAATGATTTATTTTCAGGTTTCACTTCCCATACTTACAAGAATTGGTACTGTTCCATGTTTTAGGGCAATACATTTCCTCTATTAAAAAACAACAACACACAAAGCTATTTTAACATACATAAGAATAAACATAAGTGTGATTACTACAAATACTTTTTTCCCTCACATTTAAAGAGTACATTTGCTTGACAAATTATGTCACACTGTATGTTTTAATCTATTAACTGAAATCTATTAAATCTGCCTGAAAATTAAATTATAAAGATACTTTCACCAGCTTTATTCTAAAACTTAAGAAAAAGAATTCAGTGAGAAAATCTTATCAAATCTTATCCAATCTTAGTGTGGTAAAGTATTCACAGGGATCTCTATAAGCAAGAAGTCTTGGAAGTGCTACAAAGTAAAAGCAGCTGGTGGTAGTACTCCCTTTCTCTGTTCTGTTTCGCTCATGCATATTATTTGGCTGTATATTTTATTGCTGGTTACAGAACACAGCTGGAATTGTCAATGATGAAGTTGATGGCAACAATATATGTAGTTTCAGAAAGAAAAAGGGAATCAAGAGTACCACAAAGCATGCTCCTCTATTAGAAAATGAGAAGGTTGAGCCATCTCTCACCTCAAAAGTACCAGATCCTCATCCTCTTCAAGGAACCATTGTTAGTTCAGGACCACCACTGCATCATTCTCTTCAAAACCTGACTAATTTTCCTCTGGTAGAAAACCACAGGGGGGACAGAGGCAGTTCCCATTTTGGCAGCAACGTGAAAGAAGACATGTCTGGGGAAACACATGACATCCCAGAAAGTGCTGACAGTGGGAAAATAGCAATAGAAAAAATGCAGGAGGGGACAGAAACATCAGGTAAAACAAAGCTGTCCGTGGGTGCACAATCCACAAGCAACACAGAGAAAGTTGAATGCACAGAGACAGTGTGTGAAGAAGAGGACAGTGAGAAGACAGAGCATAAACAAGAGGTCTGGGGCAGGATGGATGAAGAAAACAGCAAGTTTCATATGACAAAGATGGGTTCCCTGGAGAGCACTGCAACCACACGAGGGAGTGATGCTGCAGTATCTTTCACACCTGGCATTTCTAAACAAAGTCTACAAGAGCTAAAAAAACTTCTGAGTGAAGGCCCTCTGCCTGCCCATGGGCCCAATTACAAAAGCGGGTCAAATGGCACTGTTAGTCAACAAAACTTGAAGCCCATGGAGAAAAGAGCTGAAAAATCAGGAAGGCCCTTTGAGACTCTTAGTCTCCATTTTGGAAAAGAGAATCAAAAGTACCACAGTTTTCTCAAGGAGGAAGCAGGGCAGCAGAGCAAACCTCTGCTGGTCCTCAGCTCTGCGGATTCTGATCAGCCGCAACCAGCAGGAGGCGAGGTGGATCAGCCATTCCTGAAAGAACCAGAAACTTCCATGAGTGCCGAAAGTTCTGCTCCTGAGATTCTGTTTGACTCTTCTGCAGGCAACTCTGGTAAGGATATTTAACCATCACCCGCTGTACTGTTAAATAATATGTTTCTATTGTTTTATGCGGTTTTGTGATGTTGCAAAATTTCAGCAAAATAGTCAGAACTAGAGCACAAGAAAATCGACACTTGTGTGACAGGGATGGATCAGAAGTTGTACCCTACGTCTATGCTGTATTTTTTTTTTTTTTTAAAGTAAGGCTTTTACAAAGCCATGCTGCCAAAGACTGCCATGCACAAGTGGCAATGTCTTGTTCACTAAAACTGAGACATTTCCTCATTTAAACTGAGCACAGGCAACATTTCCCAAAGGTCTGCTAGGCAGCATAGAACTCTGAAGTTACTTGGCCTTCTTAAAATTTCCTTTTTAACATTTACAGAAGAGGAAATAGGCCCTATGTGCAGGCAGTGTTTTCAGTTATTAGCCCTATTAGAGAACTAGAATGCAAAATATCTAATATGAAAAAGAAAATGACACAGAGAACTTCCTCTTCATGATGTTCAATAAGTTCATTTTGGAAGTGTTTATAGAGTAAATTAATTGCTACTAATAGGCTGTGTTTTCTTTGAATAGTAAAAACTAAACTTCTAGATTAGCTGGGTCAACAAATTGAAAGCTACTATAAGCTATAATAATGTGATGAACTTAAGCAATTAGTTGCTTTGTATCTATTCCAGGAAGGACAATAAAACCCACAAAAAATTGCCAATTGAACACATATCAGGTTAATAAATTCCTGGGAGCATCAGATAATATTATAAGTTTTTCAGGGTATTTATGATTCTCTCTGATTTATTCCAGTGATACAAGAAATATGAATATTTTATCTTCATTAATAGATATTTTGTCAATCATTAGCTATACAACAGAATGCAAGACAATATTAATATACAACAGTATTAAGTTATCCTGCTCTCTTGTTCTGCTTTCAGATGGTGGAAACATGGCTATGGGTAATCTGTAAAGAATCTGAATGTATACCTAATTTTGTTAGCTACAGAACAGTTTTTGACATACTGTGTTAACAAGTTTGAACAAATTCAGGCAAGATATCCATGAATGGTTGTACATCAAAACTAATTCAGGGAACTGGATGAGAAATTAACAGGCCTGAAAAAAATACTTTGTGCTCAAACCTCTCTTTCTTAGAATATGCAGCTCAAAGGATTATTTCTTAGACTGCTCTGCATGCTGTTCCCTTACAAGGTCGCTTTTTTATTATTGTTCTGCTGAAAGACCAACAAAAATCACTGACAAATTTAGATTACCACTGTTTTCTCATTTGCTGTCTTCAAAGCCAGAAAATACATTTTAAAATACAGGAATAACTGTTCATTATGACACCATTTAAAAAGTATAAGGAATTGAAGAGATTAATTGCAGATTCCACAGGGAGATTTCATCCAGATTTTAGCCACTTAAAGTGTCTAATCCAAGCTCATTATTTTATCAGTAAAAAAAGGCAGGAATTCTATCTTCAAAGAGGTAATTAGAGGTTTTTGAGAAATTGGCCTTTGGAGTTTGGCTTTCTACCCAATGGGGAAGAAGTCTACATGGTTAGCTTAGATTATTTGCCTTGCTGATTTGAAATGCTGGAAGCAACCTGGATTTATTCTTATTCTCTGTCACTGGTGATAACAACTGTAAGAGATCTATAGATGAAAGCTAACTTTGAAGGGAGATGGGGTAAAACTCTTTTTTCTCATCTAAAACAAACTTAACAGTAACAATTTTGGAATCTCTGAGCTTTGGATTACATTTGGCTTTTACCTAACAAATTGTATGGTGTTGCGTACAATTTAATATTTCCATTGCTAATTTTTTTTTTTTTGCCTCACAGGCTCAAAACCCAAATATTTTTCTTTAAAGCAAACCAGAAGTTCTAAATCCTTTATCTTTCATACCAATAGCTGAAATCTCTTCTTGCTGTATGACTCTTTATGATTGTACTCTTTTTTTCTTGGATCAATACAACATAAGATCCTATCTTTCTGTTTCATTATGTCCCCTTTTCTGTAAGATTCAACTCATGTGGTGGTAAGCCAGTCATCCTGCAATGCTGCGAGCAAAAGAGGTATATTCAGACAGTAATTCTTCCTTACTAGTAGAGATACCCATTTTCTTTCTAGTAACATTGCAGTGTTGCCAGAGTAATTAGTTTAGACCTTATATAACTGAAATGGATTCTCTACTATTTCTCTGCAGCTACCTCTCCTTCCACAATGTACTAAAGAAGAGTTTTATCTACATTGAACATTGTGCAAAGGCTTATTTTCCCTAAATAATCTTGCATTCCATTTCATATGGTGCTCTCACTCATTTTTATATTATCATTTGTATATTTTATAGATTTTTGGAGTAGTATTTGTAGTCTTGCATTATTCATATATATTTTTAAATATGTGTAGATAATTGATATATATTAATAACTAGTTTGTAGTAATTATAAAACAAACACAAGTGATACCAGTTGCTTCTCAGTGGTAACTTACATGGAAAAAACAGATAGAACCACAGAGAAATAAACATTAAATGTTTTCCTGTTTACTATTGATTTGATATAGATATCTAGAAACTATGACATACATGTAGCAATTTTCTTTATAAAAGAAGTCCAGTCTTGATTTAAAAATCAATTTTAAAATGAAAATCTGAACCCAAATTTGAGCATCTTGTGAAACTAATATATATGTTTCTGTTAGTAGAGTTTATGAATTGAAAATGAAAATGTCTTTATTTCTAAAGTCCCAGGGAAACTTGTGAACATACTTCTCCCTCAGGAGAATGTGAGACTGTTAGACTGTGCATCTATGTCTGCTACATTTGCCTAACATTTATTTATTTTCTACCTTATCTACAGTAGGTGGTGCTCTAGATAAAGTTTGTATGAATTGGGAAAAGAAAAGTACTTGGTTCCTAACTACTCTTTTCCAAACTTTCTCCATCACAAGCTGCATGGACTTAGTCTAGCGCAATTTAAATTAAATTACTGATATTAATTTTAACCTCATCATCTAAAAAGATCCATCACTAATTATAACAAGTCAAACCTGAAAATACAATTCTTACTTCTTCAGCTAATTGTTTTGATTTTCTTAATGTTGTTTAACATATATCACCTTTAGAATTTTTCTATTCATTTATGACATTTCATATAATACAATTATGTAGTAATGCATTTATTGAAATAACAACCTTAGTTTGCAGACAATGCACGTATAACAAAAAAATTACTTACCTTGTTAGATGTTTAAATAACGTATATCAGTAGCTTTGCATTCTGAAATGAATTCATCTATCATTACTATGAACATATATCACATTTATTTTTCACTTTGAAATTACTTTAAGTTATTTATCTCCTAGGAACACTGATTTACAGGGTTATTTGGGTAAGAGTTGAAGTTGTTTTTGACAAATTATGTGCAGATTTTTTCCTGAAAAAAATGTTTGTTCAGAAGATGTAAGTAATACATGCAACATTTCTTCTTTATAAGAAATATCTGCAAGCCTTATATCCAAGGCTGTCAGTCAAATATTACTTTGAGTAATACAAAAACATTATGACCTACCTGTGACAGAACTGTAATGTAAACCCTGAATGGGAAAGGGAAATACGTACCATCTTGCACAGGAAGTTACACTTGCAGAATAAAGGCTCTAGCACCGCTTTTACAGCCAAAAACCTCAGGCTTCTTACCCTGGAGCTGAAGATGCCACTTGTAATCCGTAGGAAGATCTTCAGAGTCTTTTTGAGCTCTATCCATCTGATCAGTAGCCACAGTTTATTATCACAGAATCACAGAATTGCCAGAGTTGGAAGGGACCTCAAGGATCATGAATCTCCAACCCCCCTGCCACACGCAGGGCCACCAACCATTCCACCTAATGCTAGACCAGACTGCCCAGGGCCCCATCCAATCTGGCCTTGAACACCTCCAGGGACGGGGCATCCACAACCTCCCTGGGCAGCCTATTCTGCTAATAGACTGCTGCTTGGTGCTCAGATTCATAAGGAAATCAAATCTGTCAATTATCAGAAAATATTTATGTTGTAAAACAAAATGGGATGACTGAAGTGGGATTCAAGTCCTCATTTCTTGGATGACATACATAAAATAATGTTAATTTACATATATTCCCTGCTCTAGTTGTGTCTTGTCAGCATCTGTAACAGTGTGAGTAGTGTTGCACAAAATTGAACAGGACTTCCTACTCAATGTTTATCTCTTTAAGGACAAGTGCCCCAGTGCTTTTGGAGGACAGAGTAAAAAGTTGTTTCCATAAGCAGCTCACAGCTGAAGCAGATGAAAAAGAGAAGGTGTCTGTGACAATTTTTTTTTTCGTGGTTTTACTTATTTTATTTATACTATTTTTCCTTTGACTTTTATATTTACTTAAACTTTTGTTTTTGCTTTCACTTGTTATTTATTCCTCAGGGAGCAAAGTTATTACTTAATGTCTCCTTACTTTAGTATCCTAGCAACCTCCTTGCTCTCTGAAGCTGGAGATTGGTACAGCAGCATTCAGAGCTTCCACAAAGTCTATGACTGTGGAAGTTTGCTGCCTTCTGAAGGAATGGTCAGACAGCTTTGTGCTGGGCTATTTTGCTGGACTCCTTGCAGATTTGCAGCTGGCAGTCCTAGCTGTCCCAATGGAAAGATCAAAAAGATCTGTCTGCTGTCTTCTGCTAAAGGAATTTTACTCCGTTTGTGGTAATTTGCTACTGGTGAGATTAGGAGTGCTCCTTCTATCAGCGATGTAACTTTTGACTTCCACTTGAGGGCTGCTGATAAGTGGCAGCTGTTCCTGATCTACTGTTGGTCTGAATGATTTTAAAAAATTCATCTAGTCATATTCCCGGTTTCCATGGAAGAATGGAGGACTTTCCTCCTACAAAGGAAGAAATATTTTATTTTAAAAAATCAATATCATATTTTTTGCCTTTGGTTTAGTAAGTTTATGGTAGTAAATAGAAATTAAAATATTTTATATACTTTAACTTGAATAGTAATAATTCTTAGATATGCAAAAGAAAAACAGGCTGAGAAATCAAGAGGTATGTGAAAGGAAGTTACTATTCTTAGGTCTCTAAAGAAAAAAAGACAGGTTTAGTAGATAGATATTATTTTTATTATATTTCATTATCCATGCACTTTTTAAAGAATTTAAAGGAACATAAAATCTGAATTAAATCAACTTTCAGTGGGAAAAGGTTATCTAGTTGCTATTCGTGCTTCTAAACTCACCCAATAAACATACCAAGGTATTCCTCAGAAATCCCTGACTTCAGTGCTCGATAGCCCTGTGTTTTCTTATCGAAAAAACATTCAAGTTACAGACTATTCCAAAAAAACACAGGATTTTGTATGGATTCTCAGGAAAAAAAAAAAAAAAGCCTGTTTATTTACAAAAATGTTTTGTGATCCATATCTTTTTCTTAGTTTTATTTTTATACTCTGCATCAGTTTGCTACTACTGTACTTTTTAGACAGCAGCGTTCATTATTTTTTTTGATATGAACATTCCTCTTCCCTTATAGCATCCAGCAGAGAACCTGATATAAACGGCGTCGGAATTCCAAGCCTCCTTCACCTGTTCTCTCACATTGAATTTATTAAACAGCAGATGGCCAGGGACAGCATACAATTCGTCAGATTTGAATCAATAGACCTCCATGGTGTGTCAAGATCAAAGAATGTTCCTTCTCGCTTTTTTCATGTAAGTATTTTGGTTTCTAGGTACACCTAGTGTTTCCATTGCTCTGTCCTTAATTTACACGACACACACACACATATATATGTGTATATATATATATATATATATATATATATATTTTTTTTCCTAGTGCTAGAAAAATCTCAAATTTAGAACAAATCATCTGCTCCTTTCACTTGTTATTGTTCCCAAAGAATGTGGACACTTTTCCATCACTGTAATCATCTATCCCTTGGTTCTCAAAAATGATAATTCAATTAAATATGGCCAGTAATTTCTCTTCTTTGCACTTCTAGTAAACTCTTTATCTTTTCAAGTTCTACACAGTTATAAGATTTAGATTTATTGGATATCATAAATTGCAATGAGAAAATTGTAACCACTAACAGAAAGAAATTGAGTAAATTAAAATGTCTTTAGCTATTAGAAATGTTATAGTAGTCAATCAGGTGAAAAATATGATTCAATAGTAATATTTTCCATACTGATGATTCATTCATTCATTTTTAGAGGAGCCATTATTTACAGTTTTAAGTATTTCAACAATATTCCATCTAGTTAGGAAATATTTTCTCATCTCTGAGCTTTCCCTTTTTTACGTTCATTCTGTTTCCTCTGTTCCCTTTCCCATGGAAGGATAAAGGTAAAATGTAAATGTGAGCCAAGTTTCTCTTGACAGTCACATAATTGCAGCTTTCATCATCCACTGGTTTTGTTGTAAGTTGTAAAGGCACTTATATTTCATTTATGTAAGTGGAAGTTCTCTATTTAAAGAGAGAAAGTAGAACTAGAAGTTTATCCTGTTTGCAATCTAAGAGGGGAGTATTGAAACAGAATAATTTCTCACTTGAAAATGCTATGTATGGTTTGGTTTTTGTTTGATTGTTTTTTTTCTTCCCCAACTCAATAAAACCACAAAATGAGAATTTTTGGTTTAATTTTGCATTTGAAAAATGGTAAGGCAAGTGTTATGGCATTTAAAGAGAAGTGGCAGCCTGAATTTCATCATTAATCTTTTATGGTCACCTAGCTCTCCGTAAAAAAATGCTTAGAGAATGCTAAAGGCTCATAAAGTAATTATAAATAAAAGTTTGACTTGCAAAGTTTGCACATGATGATTCCCATAGTTGTACAAAAAATAAGAAAAAAAGAAGAAAAAGGAATACTAAGTGTTGAACATTTTTTTCTACATCTCTTAATGGGAATTTAAAAAACAATCATCAGGATATTTGATGCCAGAATTTTCATACAAATTTTGTACAAGATTGTCCCGCTTCATAGCAACACAGTAATTGGCCACTATCTTTCACTTTCAATGATTGCTGTGCTTTAGGTGTTCTTTTATGAAAAAATACAACTGTTCTTGCTATAAATCAGAGTTTTATAAATTTTACTTACATAGAAATACCATTCAGTTTTTTTTCTCATTGGGTAACTTGTCATTTTGCTCCGTGTTTAGGAAAAAGCAATTCATGGTGTTGCCATGCCCAGAAGCTATCTTGAACTGACCCTGAATCCTAAGGATAATGAAATAGATTATATAAATGCAACCAATTTTAATTGCGACATAATCCTGAACCCTGATTTATCAACATTTCGAATTCTACCCTGGACCGAGCAGACTGCTAGAGTGATATGCGATTCCTTCACTGTGCTGGGCAACCCTCTAATGACCTCACCTAGGCATGTTGCCAAGAAGCAGCTGAGAGAGCTTCAGGACAACGGCTTTTCTCTACACTCTGCCTTCACTTATGAATTTTGTATTTATGGCATTACTGAGGTTGTAAATTCGAAGACAATATCCTTTCCTGCAGCAACGATACTAAATAACCATGACCAGACATTCATTCAGGAGCTCATTGAAGGAATGTATTGTACTGGGGCCAACATTGAAAGCTTTTCTTCTTCTAGTGGGCCTGGACAAATGGAGATCACTTTTCATCCAGCATTTGGCATAGATGCTGCTGACAGTGCCTTCACATTTAGAACAGGCATTAAAGAGGTGGCTAAGAAGTATAGCTACATAGCTAGCTTTTTCTCAGAATCTGGATTCTACAATTCAGGGGCTCTCTCACATAGTCTGTGGGATCTGAATGGCCAGAAGAATTTGTTTTCTGCTGGTTATGGAGCCGAGGAGCTCACAGATATTGGAAAAAATTGGCTATCTGGTCTCTTGGCACACTCAGCAGCTATTAGCTGCTTGATGGCTCCTACCACCAGCTGCCGTAAGCCTTATTCCAAATACAGCAAAGAATCAAAAGAGACTGTAAGTGCAAAATGGGCATATAATGATAACAGCTGTGCCTTTAATGTCAAAAGTCATGGTGGAAAAGGCACTCACATAGAGAATAAATTAAGTTCTGCTACAGCAAACCCCTACTTGGTACTTGCTGCTACTATTGCTGCAGGTCTAGATGGAGTAAAGAGGGGACTTAGGTATGATGATGCATCGCAGGAAGAAAACCACATATCTGATCTGAAACCTTCATCCATCCCTCTGAAGCTAGAAGATGCTCTTGTGGCACTTGAGAAAGATTCATGCATTAAGGAAGCATTAGGTGAAACTTTCATCAGTTATTTCATTGCCATGAAACATTATGAGTTAGAAACTGAAGAAATGGATAGTGAAAGGAATAAATGCCTGGGGTATTTTATTTAGAGGGAGCACTCTTCTGTACTGATGCTGTGTAAACTGATGCATATACTGTAGACAAATATATTGAAATCAGTAAATATATTTTAAAACGTTTTAATGCTTTATTTACTGCATTTTCTTCTTTGTATAGTAAATGGCAATTTCATTTTATAGTCTGTACATTCTGCAAAGTAGAAAACTGATATTTATGAAAAAATATTGACAGGCTTTTAGAATACTAGTTTTCATTTTAAGTGAACAGGCCTGCTGGTAGAAAGAAGAAAAGAGAAGGTAAAATGGAAAAGAGCTTCTATTTTGCTGCACAAAAAGCTCTTCAGGGGCTCTGTGAACATTTTTATTTACCAAGTCCTGTCTTCTATTTCTGGTTGTTTCTCAGTCTTCAGAAGATCTTGGCAGAAAAAACTCAAAAATACTTTCTTTGCTCATAATGTTTTCTTACTTTTCTTCTTGTTTAGTCCCAACAGTTGCACTGTTTAATAGCTATTCCTTGTTCTTCATCTTGGCAAGATGTGCTAATGACCATCACTGCATGTATCTTATGTATTAAAGTGATAAGATTTTTACATAACAGCAGGCACACCGGCTAAACAAAGCTGTACCAGAAATTGCTATGGACATGTATTAAACTTCTGTAGACGTAATAATCTTAACAATTTTATATAGAAGCTGATCCTGATATAGAAGCACATTCCCACACAGGAGTTTCCGAAATCCGATTTCTGATCAATATATATATTTGACATTATTTTTTCTATAAAATAAAGCAGATTAAATAAAACATAAGTGATCTCGCCTTTCCCAGAGAGATCCAGAAATACCACATAAAACTGAGATTTTCTTTTAATTTTATGACTTAGATACCTAAATCAGTCACAGTACTATTTGAAATAGAAAATTGACTAGTTTCCTAAAAATATAATGTTTATTTCAATGTAACAAAAATAAGATAATTCCAACTCTGTGGGCTAACATCAAGAATATTTCTTTCAAAATAAGCAGTTATGAGTTTTTGAAGTTGTCTGCATACTTGAACAATTTTTCATGCATTTGCTTCAGAAAGGCAAGGAGAAAAGATGACCACTTCATTCTGCTCAATTGAAATCAATAACCATTGACTGATGTGCTGTTAACATTTCATCACTTGAAGTATTGTCTGGAAATACCATTCACTATTCTGCAAGTCCAAAATCAATGTCACAAACACTACAGTTTGGTAATTTAAACTTGTGCAGTGTTTTAAATTGAAAAAAAAAAAAAAAAAATTATGATGACATTTAAAACCTCTAGCTTTGCATAAGATAGTGCTCATTTCCCAGGATGCTACAGTAAGGTGCTGCAAGGCTCGGCATGAGAAATTTCTGTTATTAATAAAGCATCTTTTAATCTTTGCAGCTTTAGTCAGACTATGTACTATGTATACTATGTATATTCTATGACAAAGTGGTACTGCTTTTGACACTCTGTAATATTCATGGCTACTATTTCTACATATTGGTTTGAGCCAGGCTTTGGTTCCATGCCATATAGAAGAATTACAAGGGACATTGCTCAAAACTCCTAAGCTTTTAAAATAGTTAAAGTGTTAAAAATGATTTTTTACAATATCAGCATGATAAAGCCATTATGGTAGTTAATAGTTAATACTATTAATAGTATGCATACACAAGGAAGAAGATATATCAGAAGATGCATGCTAGTGACTCACAGTTAGAATTAGAAATACCATGTAATTAAACAATAGGAACAAAGTGAAAAATGTGTAGAAACACCATGCTATAAAGCTCAAATAAATTTTGTGCTGTACAATGAACAGTGAAAACATCTCACACCCCTAATTACAATTTGTCTTGATCTATTTTGTGATATAGTGTCAGAAAAATTACATAAAACCTACAGATTCCTCCATACAGTACCATGAATTTGAAAGTGGCATTCATTTAACTATGCTTCAGGTTTTGTAAGATACGAAAACAAAATTTAATTTAGTAATTAACATATCTCCTCTACATCAAACTGCTGACACCATCCACACAAGTAAATCTTCAGTTTTTCTTCTTTCAGCCTCCAGCCAGAGGGCAGCAGTGCACTGTGCAACTTTCCTCTGGGATCTCAAACTCTCATATGGTGCTGCAAAACATTACATAAAAATATACCTATTTATTTTGTATATGTATGTATGGTATTTCAAAGAATCATAGCACAGTTGCTGAAAGCTAGCACATCTCTTTACCACTTTGTTAGTTAAGCTTAGTATACTGTTGAATTTTCCATTAAAGGATACATTTTCAGAATTCTCAAAACATTATCTCAATTCCTAATAAAATTGTGTAAATGTTTAGTTAACCTAAAGAGATACATCCATGTTTGTGTGTATGTACATATGCATATAATCTTCATATATATTAACATTGCTGCAACCAAAGTATTTGTTATTTAACAACAGCACTTTGTAACCAAATGTAGGCCACCACTGAAAAGTCTTTCATAGTATTGCCTTATTAAAATGCTGAGGAAAGTCTACTTGCTCAGATGGATTGCCATTTTACCTATACTAATTTATTTCCTTTCCAACTCATTATTTCTTGTCTGCTGTGGGAGAATCATAAATACATAATAAATGCACACCTGTTCCAACTGTCTTTCTGTTCCTGAACACAACTGAGTAAAGGTTTGCAGAACTCAAATGCAGAATATAGGTTATTGAGATTTAACCATACAGTCTAGATAATAGTTGGGGATAAGCACTTCTATGTATAATTCTGACTGCATATGTAGTCAGTATTAGTCAATACTCATTCTGCATGTCAACTTCCACACCTCACATTTATCACATATTTAATCTCTACACAAAGTTGCAAGATTCAGGCTTTAACAATCCCCTTCCCTCAACTCTCTTTGCAACGTTCTTTTGTTTCGTTTCCTTTCCTAGTAAAAAGCTCAAATAAGTTTAAAATTATCCAAATGCTTTAAATAAAAAATGCTGCATTGTTGTTGCAAAACATTCATTTGGTCTGAAATTGTGCTCTTTGGAAAATAGAAAAATATGGTCCTAGGATATGGCAGTAAAGGAAGTAAAGAGAAGAGGAACTACCTACAGGCAGTTTCACTAAGCATCTCTGTTATATTTCAACAGTGGGAGAAAGAAGTGAAGAGGGCTGAGTAGGTGAGAGTGCTCGATTTACGTAAGCTCTTATTCACCACCTGAGAAAAGCTCAGCAAGGCAGCGGTCAGGATGTCAGATGCTGGATGAGGAATAATTGGTTGAAGGTGAATGAAACCATGGCTGAAAGAGAAGCCACTTGGATGAGTTTGCAACTGCAGAGCAATTTTCTTTTGATTGAAGGCATGCAACAACTGTTGTTCAATTTAATCTGTAATTCAAGAGTGGTTTTTGATTTCTTTGCTGACATTAAGCTCTCATCGTGACAACGTCCATGGGCAGCATTTTCTGCCATCTCATGCTGCACTGGTAATGATATTTCATCCTGGCAAATGTTATGTCCTTACTTTTTCTTTTTTATTTGACTTATAAAACTTAAGCATACCTGAGATGGAACCTGCTACCACTTACAGGAGATCAGAGGTAATACACAACACTGTTATGTGTCTCTTCACATACACTTACATAGTCTTTCTGTAGGATATCAAGTTGAATTCACAGCTTCTGGGTGCAGGCTCACTCTGTCAATTTTTAGGTATTCAGCTGTGCACCTCAGTGTGGAAGCCAGTTCTCACTAGAACTAACTGGCTATTTGGTGACAAGGGATAAACATCTCCAAAGATAAACTGAGATATATATATTTATACAATATTTAAAAATTTATGTTGCAGTAGTGTTAGAGATGGTACTAACCACAACCTCACTCAAACCTACTTTCTTATACATCATTCAACCACATACTAGATCTAGTAGGGATGGGGTTCATTTTCTTAATAGTAACCTATAGGGTTGCAGCCTACAGTGCTTGCAGAGAATCAAGGCCTTATCTGCTTCTGACTCCCCACTGAGTAGTCTGAGGGTAGCCAAGAAGGTGGGACTTGGCCAGGACTGCTGACATAAACTGGCCAAAGACATATTCTATATCTTATGACTTAATATTCAGCAATCAAAACTGTAATGCAGTTTTGTTTGTTTGTTTGTTTGTTTTTTGTTTTTTTTTTAATATTTTTTTATTTATCAAAGTAGACATTGCTTGAAGACTGACTGACCACTGATCTGCCTGTGGAAGGCAATGGGCAAGTCTCCACTCATGCTTGCCCTTCCAGTTCTCTCCTCCATCCTAATGGAGGGGGGCAGAATGAATAAAGAATTAGGCATTTGTTGCTGACCAAAATCAGTTGACCACAAACAATCATTTGAATACTCTTCTTCCTGGTCCAAGTCTACCCTAGGTGAAAGGCAGTGCTAAAAATCTTGGAGATTTTTAAGGCAGAAAGAGAGACATTGAGCAGTTGGAATGCATCCAGAGGAGGGCCACAAAAATGACCCAAGAGATGGAACTTCTCTCCTACAAGGACAGGCTGAGAGAGCTGGGGCTGTTCTCCTGGAGAAGAGAAGGCTCTGAGGTGACCTGATAGAAGTCTTTTGGTATCTGAAGGGGACAGAAAGAAGGATTGGAACATACGCTTTAGCAGAGTCTGTTGCTATAGGGCAAGGGGAAATGGGTTAAAACTAAAAGAGGAGAGATTTAGATTGGACATAAGAAGTTTCCTGTACAATAAGGAGCAGGTTGCCCAGAGATTTGGTGGATATTCTGCCACTGGAGACATTCAAGATCAGACTACACGTGCTCTGGGCATCCTGATTTTGCTGCGGTGTCCCTCCTTATTGAAGAGAAGTTGGACTAGGTGATTTCTAAGCATCCCTTCCAATGCAAATAATTCTGCAACTCCATGAATAACGAAGTATGTTAGCAATACTAGAATTTTTGTGAAAAAGTGGAAAACTCTGAGACTTTTGAAACCTGGGAGATTTTAGTCAAACTTAATATATTAGCATGTGTTAGATTTTTTGAAGAAGATGGTCTTTTCTGTATGACACCTTATTCATTCAAATAGAGGCTAATATTTTAATTTAAATATCTTCTGTAGAGTTATTAAAAATATTTCTATATAAATA